CCTTGGGTACACACGTACACATGCCTGGAGTGAGTTTAAGTCACCAGGTCCGGGACTCAAAACACGGTCCACTACATGGGAGTCCAGCGACATAGCCATTACACTAACTGCTGGTCCCTAATCATAACATTTTAAGTAGGGTTCTTTTTCTTTTTATAGAGAGACTTTTGCAATAAGGCACGTGCACTCACCAGAGGGACAGAGAGAGACAGAGAGACAGAAAGCAAGAAATCACCCCCCAGGGGCATGGCCACATCACAATCCCTTCTCCTTCTTTCTCCTCTTGGGATTTGAGATACACATGCACAAGTGCCCGTCGTGAGTTTTAAGCCACCAGGTCTGGGCCTCAAACAGTGGTCAACTATGTGGGAGTCCAATGACGTAACCATTACACCCTCTGCTCGTCCCTTAGGTTGGGCTCTGTTAACCCAAAGAATGGCTTCTAGTGCTAAGTTCTTAGGATATTTTACACCAGGTTTTGTTAACCAGAGAAGAGTTATCAGAGTAGTCAGAAGTTCCAAGCCAGACATCATCTATTTCTCAGCCATGGCTAAAGAGATGATTTAAGGGGAATATTGTACCCAGATTCAAATATGCAGGGGATTTTTTTTCTAGTAGTAATAATTAGATGTAAGATTATGAATAGAATGTATACTTATAATTTATCTCATAAAGAAGGGCATTGTGGGGCTAGCAGATGGCATAGTGGTTACATCGCTGGACTACCACATGGCCGACCACAATCTGAGTCTTGAACCCAGTGGCTTGAAAATCGTGCCTGGCACTTATGTGTGCATGCCAAGATCCCAGAAGGAGAATGGGGAGAAAGGACTGTGACATGGCTATCCTCCCTGGGGGTGATTGCTCACTTTTCCTTTCACTGTCTCTGTCTTTCTCTTTCTCTCAGGTGAGTGCACGCACCCTACGGCCAAAATCTCTTAAAAAAAAAAAAAAAAGAAGAAAGACATTGTCACCCCACCACTGTATCATAATGGAATAGGTGACCTTCTGAGAGCATAGGAAATATTTAATAAACTGATGAGATCCATAAGCAGAAAATTATTCCATATACATGATGTGCTATGCTAGATTAGAAATCTACAATAAATGATATCTTCTGGTAGATCTATCTCTGCCCTTACAGGCCTTCACAGAAAAAAAATACACCAGAAGAAATAGGCAATTATCTTCATAAAGGATGAAACATATTGTAATAAAACCAGTGTGTGAAGGAACCCATCGAAGAAGTACCTTACCTCTGTCTCTGAGTAATCAGTTAAGAAGTGTCAGAGACAAGTCACCTAATTTGACACATAAATAATAAATGGGAATTAATTAAATAAAAAATATAGTAGAAAGAGACGATTCCTAGCCCTAGGCAATATTTTCCCAGTTTTCTGTGACCTCCTTCAGATACATGATCTTTATAAGCTCCAAGAAAAATACTCCACAGTCATCAGATTACTGCTGCATAATAAACCACCCCAATATTTTGTGATAAAACCACAACCATTGTCCAGCCTCAGTGATGGAGCCACATGGAAGCCTGCGGTTTAGATTCCATGTTGACCTGAATACAATGGCTAGGCCAATGCATGCCCGTGATCCTGGCTGGCTGGGCACCTGGGAGGAGGATCAAGGTATGGCAAGACACTGTTGAGGGTACCTGCCTCTCTCTCACTCTCGCTCTCACTCTTGCTCTTTCTGTCTTTTTCCCAACCCCTCTCTCATGAAATAACCAAGTAGGTTTTTTTTAACTTTAGAAAACACCCACACAAACACACAACCATTCATTTACTCATGATTCTGCATTTTGTCTGGGCTCACTTAGAAACTCTGGTTTGCCGCGAGTTCCAGCAGCTCTAGTGGCGGAAGGAGCGGTAGGGTTTATCCACTCAACTCCACAAAGGCTCTAGGCGCACCAAGGCTTCATCAGGCACCCAGCACGCACCCTGTCCACAGCCAAGATGCCCAAGAGGAAGGTCAACTCAGCCGAGGGGGGTGCCAAGGAAGAGGCAAGAGGAGATCGGAGAGGTTGTCTGTTAAACCTGCTCCTGCAAAAGTGGAGATGAAGCCAAAAAAGGTGAAAGGAAGGATAAATTTTCAGAGAAAAGAGTGCAAACAAAAGGGAAAAGGGGAGCAAAGGGGAAACAGGCTGAAGTGGTCAACTGAGACACTAAATAAGATTTACCTGCAGAAAATGGAGAAACTAAAAATGAAGAGAATCCATCCTCTGATGAAGCAGGTAAGAAAGAAGCCCAGTCTGAGTAATGTCACGCCCCATATACCATGTCTTATCAATGGTCCCTGTCTCCCTTCTTGTACAATCCAGAGGAATATTTTTATCAACTATTTTGTAAATGCAAGTTTTTTAGTAGCTCTAGAAACATTTTTAAGAAGGAGAGAATCCCACCTCATCCCATTTTTTAAGTGTAAATGCTTTTTTTTTAAGAGGTGAAATCATTTACTGGTTGTTTATTTTTCAGTACGACCAGAAAATAGTGGGATATTGACTTACAGGAGGCTTTGACTCTCTTGCGTGTCAGCTTAACATTCCATAGGTGAGGGCGGGTGGGTAGTTTTTATATCCTAACTACAAAGCATACTAAATGGCAGTTCAGAGTCACATTCATACATTTAATGTGTCTTGAATATTTTAAATTACTTCTATTATGTTTTTTAGTAGTATTGTTTCCTAAAGAAAACCACTCTTTGATTGTTGCTCTCCCTATCAGAATTGTGTGCACTCTGTAACATCTTTGGTCGTGGTAGTCCAGTTTTCCTAATAATTTTGTTAATGTGCTGTGAAAGATTGGAAATTTGAAGTATGTAGTGTGTGTGATACTAAATTGTGATTTGGTGGGACTTATATAACAGCTTTCAACATTTGATGACAGTGGTTCTTGATATTCTCTTAAGGAAAATTTGCCTACAAATTTGAAGCTGGAATGTCACTGGAATAACTTAAAAATAATCACTATACTTGGTTTTTTAAATTTTTGGTACTTATGTTAAGAATTGGTACAAATTGAAATGTCTGTACTGATCCTTGACACAACCAATAAATCTCAATTACAAAAGAAAAAAAAAAAGAAAGAAACTCTGGTTTCCCTGGGGTCATTCAGAGGTCTCCTGTCTCCTGATAGCTTAACAGGGATGGAGTGTCCAGATGGCCTCACGTTACTGGCAGTTGGTGCCAGCATTATCCAAGGTAACTTAGTTCTCCACATGGCCTCTTCACCCTCTCGAAGTCTAGACAAAGCTTCTTTACACAGCTCAGGGCATCATTTCCAAGAAGGCAAAGGAGGACATTTCAAGGCATTTGGGGTCCCAGGCTCTGGAACTCTAATAGCATCATTTCTGTCATATTATATATTCACCAAAATGAGTCATAGGCCGATCTGGATTCAAGGAATAAGAAAATAGGCTCTTTTTCCAATGGGAGGAAATGAGAAGTGTTGCAGCCATGTTTTTCGATCTATCACAAGTATGCTAAGAAAACCCAAACTAGAGGAAGTCGGGGAGGACTTCAGAGGAGCGGTAGAGTTTGAGCCCAAGCCTAGAGGACGAGTAGGATTTTACTCAGGAGAGCAAACGTGTATAATGCACATAGGTGTCAGATAGCACAGGCAGCCTATCTGGAGAAAGGCCCTGGGATTAGCATCAAAGGACTGGGGACAAAATTGTGGAGAAAGATGCAGAAGAAGAACATCAGCACACCTAGCACTGTGCCACTGTGTATCTAGCTACTTAGGAGATACATCCCAGCCAGGACAAGATCGTGGAGACCTACACAACAAATGCTGGGGTTTGCCACGAGAACATTTTTAATCAGGAAAGGTAGGCAATTAGTTTTTTCTTGTAGATCTGAAGTGTCATTTTACAGACACCACATAAAGTAGCATCCAAACTATCTTATCCTTATGGATCTGATCATAACTTCAACCATCTATGGAGCTAGCAGGTGGCATGGAGGTTAAGGCAGCTGGATCCCACATGGTCAACTGTGCTATTCAAGATCTCGACTTGGTGGCTTGAACATCACCCTGAATGCATGTATGTGTGTGTGTGTGTGTGTGTGTGTGTGTGTGTGTGTGTCCAGAGTCCCATGAGGAGTATGGAGAAGAAGGGGTACCTAGGGGTACTTTCTCACTCTCTCTCTCCCTCCCCCGCCCCCTATAAGCACATGCACCCTATAGCAAGCAAACAAACAAACAAAAACTGCAATCATCTACACTTTCTGTGCCCCTGATGTGATCATCTATGTGAATTCTGAGTCCTTGTTTTGATCACATCAATTCTTCTTTTTTTTTTTTTTTGAGAGGTTTTTGCTATAGGGCACATGCGATCTCCAGATAGACAGAGAGACAGAAAGCGAGAAATCACTCCCCAAGGGGATGGCCATGCCGCAATCCCTTCTCCTCCATTCTCCTCTCGGGATCTTGGGCACGCATGCACACACGCCCAGCGTGAGTTTAAGCCACCAGATCTAGGACTTGAACCGCAGTTGACTACATGGGAGTCCAGCGACATAGCCATTATGCTAACTACTGGTCCCTTGATCACATCAATTAATTCAAAGTAAAGGAGAGGTAGAACACCCAGTGCAAGTTGCAAAAACGCTATCTGACACTATTATGGACACTGAAAACAAAGATTCTAAGAACTATTCTAAGAACAAATATGAAGAGGTATTTTGGAGGTATTTACTATAGGGCGCATGTGCTCACCAGAAAGACAGACAGACAGAGAGACAGAAAGCAAGAAATCACCCCACTAGGGGGAAATGGCCATGCCACAATGTCTTCTCCTCCATTCTCCTCTTGGGGTCTTGGGCACGCATGCACACGCGCCCAATGTGAGTTTAAACCACCAGGTCCGAGACTCAAACTGCGGTTGACTCCATGAGAGTCCAGTGACATAGCCATTATGCCAGATGCTGGTCCCTATCTGTCCTAATCAATAGGAAGAAGACATTTTTTCAGCCCCTGGGCAATGAGATGGTGATTCTCTGGAGGCTGAGCATCCTCTGCAGTGCCCAAGGAGGCCAAGCTCTATACCTGCAAACCCCAGTGGTCAGACGTGCTCATGTCTCCACATTTCTCCAGGACTGACCTACCCCAAAATAGTGCAGAGTGCATGTGGTGCAGCACATTCACCTGTCACCAAGCCACCACTCTGATTCCAAGGCTGCCTCTCTCCACTGGACTAGTGAAAGGTTGTCAAGTGTTTTGCTCCTGTGACTGCTTCCATCTGCTTATTGGAATCTTTGCTCTGTGATGGACTATTCTCTAGCTGCAAGCCTCATTCTCCATAGTCACTGGGGCCTTGGACAAGTTGTTACTGACTATGTGCACGGGCACACATCGCAGAAAGCTGCTGAGGCAGGCCTTTTGGCACTCTCACCTTTAACCTTCACTGGGTTTTGTTACTTCTGCTATCGTGATGTGGATATCTGCAAAGCTGTTGCCATTATGTGGAAGCTCTCCTTTTTTTTTTTTTTTTTTTTTTTTTTTTTTTGGAGAGATTTTCACTGTAGGGTGCGTGCGCTCACCAGACAGACAGAGAGAGACAGAAAGCGAGAAATCCCCCCCCAGGGGGGATGGTCACGCCACAATCCCTTCTCCTCCATTCTCCTCTCGGGAGCTTGGGCACGCACGCACATGCGCCTGGCGTGAGTTCTAAGCCACCGGGTCCGGGACACGAACCACGGTTGACTACGTGGGAATCCAGCGACATAGCCATTACGCTAACTGCTGGTTCCCGAAGCTCTCCTTTTTTGATGTAATACCTTAAGAATTGATCATGTGCCTCTTTGCCCTGCTCTGTCAAGCTAGTCAGCTCACAATAAGGAGGAAATAGCAAATAACACAACTTCATTGGTGGATAAGTCTCTTCTAATCACATGGTTATTTTCAGAACTGAATTACTGAAGAAAAGTTTGAAAGGTATCCAGAAATTGAGAGACTGAGTTCTGTATTCTGGTGAGTTAATAAGGTTGTCTCCAAACTTCTCACAAGATTCAAAGTATAATTAAACATTATATATGAACTTTTGCTGTTTATCAGTCTCTTAAAGAGAATTCAACTTTATTACTATCAATACATGATGAAAGTTCTATATTTGGGAATATGGACAAAAGGAAAGACTACTAAGTGATGATTAAGGAGTTTGTAGAAAATTAGTGTTTTTTTTAATAATTATTCCTTTTATTTTATTTATCATTATTGTTATTTTCAATTTGACCAGAGCAAGACACAGAGAGAGAGAGAAAGTGAGAAAGCAAGCCGCCAGGTCCAGGACTTGAACAGTGGTCAGCCATGTGGGAGTCCAGCACTCCTAACCACTATGCCACCTGCCAACCCTTACAGTGTTTAATTTTTGAAAACTTCCCCTTCTGCTCAGTTAATACCAGCTACTGATGGTTACATATCCTAGGGAAACTTTAAAATGAGAGAATGTTAATACCACACATGAAGAATTTCTCCATCCTGGGAAAAAAATCTTAGGGAGCTTCTACATATAGAGAAGTTCATTTAAGGAAGGAGTCTACTTTACAGACATGTCAAATATTATAAATTCTGAACCAAGATGTAATGTTCAAATGTATTATACTTGTCCTAAAATAGTCTGCCCACAAATACAAAATTATAAGAAATAGACACATTCATTATCTTACTCTTTTCTGCCTGTGGACACCACTGGGGAAGCACTATTGAAATCTCTCTTCCCAGGACCAGCAGTTGGTGTAATGGCTATGTTGCTGGACTCCCACGTAGTCAACCACAGTCTGAGTCCTGGACCCAGTGGCTTAAACTCATGCTGGGCACCTGTGCGTGTGTGCCCAAGATCTGGAGAGGAGAATGGAGGAGACGGGATTGGAGTGTGGCCATCCCCCCTGGGGGGTGATTTCTCGCTTTCTGTCTCTCTGTCTCTCTCTGTCTTTCCAGTGAGCGCCCATGCCCTATAGCAAAAAACCTCTCCTCCCCCCAAAAAAGAAAGAAATCTCTCTTCCCACTGCTGTCATGTCAAGTCACAGTCTCCTAAAGAGCTAGAACACCTGCAAAAACTCTTTATCAGTTGGTTGAGCTCTGAAACAGTAGATGAGAGCCTGAGGAGCCATTTTAAGCAAAGGGGAACGCTCATGGACTGTGTGGTAATGCAAGATCCAAACACCAAGTGCTCCAGGGGCTTTGGGTTTGTCCCATATGCCATCTGCTCCAGGAGGTGGATACAGTCGTGAATACAAGGTCACACAAGGTGGATGGAAGAGATGTAGAAACAAAATGGGCTGTCTCAAGAGAAAATTCTGAGACCAGGTGCCCACTGAACTATGAAAAAGATCTTTACTGGTGGCATTAAAGAAGACACTGAAGGGAACCAGCAGTTAGCGTAATGGCTATGTCGCTGGACTCCCACGTAGTCGACCGCGGTTCGTGTCCTGGACCCGGTGGCTTAAAACTCATGCCGGGCGCGTGTGCGTGCGTGCTCAAGATCCCAAGAGGAGAATGGAGAAGAAGGGATTGTGGTGTGGCCATCCCCCCTGGGGGGTGATTTCTTGCTTTCTGTCTCTATGTCTCTCTCTGTCTGGCGAGCACACGTGCCCTATAGCGAAAAAATCTCTCCAAAAAAAAAGAAGACACTGAAGAACACCGGCATAGGACGTGCATGAGAAAGCATCGAGGCCTCTGTCTTCTGTTCACCTTCGCCACCTTTGTCGAGATAACCCACCCACGCCGAGGCTGGACCCCGGCATAAGAGATTATAGAAATCACCCCCCAGGGGGGATGGTCACACCGCAATCCCTTCTCCTCCATTCTCCTCTTGGGATCTTGGACACACACGCACATGCACCCGGCGTGAGTTTTAAGCCACCAGGTCTGGGACGCGAACCGCAGTCGACTACGTGGGAGTCCAGCGACATAGCCATTACGCTAACTGCTGGTTCCCCACCTAAGAGATTATTTTGAACAGTATGGGAAAACTGAAGTGATTGAAATCATGACTGATGAGGCAGTGGCAAGAAGAGAGGCTTTGCTTTTGTTACTTTTGATGATCATGACTCTGTAGATAAGACTGTCATTCAGAAATACCATACTATGGGAACCAGCAGATGGTGTAAGGGTTACGTCACTGGACTGCCACATAGTCAACTGTGGCTCAAGTCCCAGATCTAGCAGCTTAAACTTACGTGTGTCCAGAATCCCCAGAAGAGAATGGAGGAGAAGGGATTGCAGCATGGCCATCCCAGGGGATGATTTCTCACTTTCTGTCTCTCTGTCTCTCTGGTGAGCACAAGCAACCTATAGCAAAAATCTCTCTCTCAAAAGATAAATAAATAACTAAATACCATACTGTGAATAGCCACAACTGTGAGGTAAGATAAGCTCTGTCCAAACAAGAGATGGCTAGTGTCTCCTCCAGTCCAAGAAGTTGAAGTGGTTCTGGAAACTTCGATGGTGGTCATGGCGATGGTTTTGGTGGCAATGGCAACTTTGGTCATGGAGGTCATGGTGGCTTTGGTGGCAGCTGTAGTGGTGTAGATACAGTGGAAGTGGGGTTGGCTATAATGGATCTGGTAATGATGGAGGCAATTTTGGAGGTGTTGGAAGCTACAATGATCTTAGCAATCACAACAATCAGTCTTCAAATTTTGGACTCATGAAGGGTGGCAACTTTGGAGGCAGAAGCTCCAGCCCTTATGGTGGTGGAGGCCAATACTTGGTCAAATCACAAAATCAAGGTGGCTATGGTGGTTCCAACAGCAGCAGTAGCTATGGCAGTGGCAGAAGGTTTTAATTAACTGCCAGGAAACAAATCTTAGCAGGAAAGGAGAGCCAGAGAAGTGACAGAGAAGCTACAGGTTACAACAGATTTGTGAACTTTGCCAAGCACAGTGGCAGGGCCTAGCTGCTTAAGACTTATTTTCGACAATACTCATGTATATGGGCAAAAAAAAACAAGGACTGTATTTGTGACTAACTGTATACAAGTTATTTCAGTTTCTGTTCTGTAGAAAGTATAAAGCATTCCAACAAAGAGCTTTAATGTAGATTTTTTTGGCACCCATGCTGTTGATTGCTAAATGTAATAGTCTAATCATGATGTTGAATAAATGTGTCTTTTAAAACATAAATAAATAAAATTATAAGAAATAAATTATTATTTGCCTACTATGGAAATCTTTAATGTGAAAATGTATTCTAGAAAAGAAAGGTTTTATTTTAAATATACTATTGTAAGGACCGGCAGGTGGCATGGTGGTTAAGGTGCTGGACTCCCACATGGCTGACGATTGTTTGAGTCCTGGGCCTGGCATCTTGATTTCTCACTTTCCCTCTCTCCCTCTTTCTGACTCTCTCTGGTCTAATTAAAAAATATTAATAATGAATAAAATTAAATAAGCAATTCTTTTTTAAAAAATTAATTAAATATTGTATAATAAAGATGCATGCTACTCTTTTTTAAAAAGACATCTTATTGCTAAAAAGCTGTAAAGATAAAGAACTGGGACCACCATACTGTAAACAATGAGCTTTGAGGGACCAGCAGTTAGCGTAATGGCTATGTCGCTGGACTTCCATGTAGTCCACCGCAGTTCGCGTCCCGGACCCAGTGGCTTAAAACTCATGCTGGGCGCGTGTGCGTGCGTGCCCAAGATCCCGAGAGGAAAACAGAGGAGAAGAGATTGCAGTGTGGCCATACCCCCTGGGGGGTGATTTCTCACTTTCTGTCTCTATGTCTCGCTCTGTCTGTCTGGCGAGCGCACGCGCCCTACAGCAAAAAAAAAAAAAAAAAAAAAGACCCAAGCAAGCATTTAAAAAAAACAATGAGCTTTGACAAACTCAGGATAAATTAGAGCACCCAGGGTCACATGGGCCAAATGATTTAAGGTACTAAGTACCTATTTCCTTACATTTCTGTTTATTCTGTAAGTGGAAACTAACATGATTCACAATTAAGGTGCATTCACAAAAAAAAAAAAAATCACACATTATATGATTCCATGTATATGAAAGGTCCAGAATAGGCAAATCTATACAGACAGAAAGCCAAATTAGTGTTGCTTAGAATTCAGGGCAGAGGACAGGATACAGGATTGTTTTGGGAGGAGGATGATGAAATGTTCAAAAATTAATTGTGGTGTTAATTGTACAGCTCTGTGAATAAACTAAAAACTTTTGTACACTTTAGCTGGGAGAATTGTACAATATGTGATGTAGCTTGATAAAGTTATTCCAGGGCCAGCCTCTGTGGCACAATGGTTAAGTTCTATGCTTAGGGAGATGAATCTCACATGGCCAACTGTAGTTCAAATTCCAGTCCCAGTGGTTTGAAAACCATGTCAGGTGCATGTGCATGCATGCCCAAAATCGTGACAGGATGAAGAAATAGAGGAAAAAAGATTGCAG